GAGGGTGGGGGGAATTAAAAGGGAGGGATAAAATATATATATATAAATCTATTTTTAGTCTGGAAAGACTTTGTTTAAATGAAAGGTGCGCTGTCCCTTTTGATTCTATTTTAAAATTATCTAGCTAAAGAATTCCAAATTGGTTCCAATAACAACGAAATTTAAATGTGAAATTGAACTCAGCAAACTCTCATCTCATAGAGGACGGGGTGTGGCTCTGCCGGTCAGCCTGTCTCCGGCCAACTCAGATCTCTAGACCCAGAATTGGAAGCCGGGCGAACACCCAAACCACCCTTTGTCATTAATTTGTCTCAAAGTGGGGAGGTTGGGGGAGGGGAGTGGGGCGGTCCATGTTTTCAAGAGTGGGAGAATGATGTTTAAACACAAAAATAAATTTTTTTCATTTCCAGAAACACTATTTATTTATTATTTTTAAAATTTTTATCTTTTTGGGGGTGAAATTGGTAGATGCCCGAGGTCACAGCTGTGTGCTGCGTCATGTGGCCGGTGGGAACCCCAAGTGCCTCGCTGAGTGCAGTGGGGCCATTCCCAGCGGGTGCCACCTCGACAGGACTGGAAGTCTACGAGGCGCTGGCTGTCTGAGCGGTGGGGGGTAAGCTGACCAGGACACCCCTTTAGCCCTTTATTCTTTTTGCTTTTGTTTTTATAAAAGAAAAGGGGGCCTGTCAGTTGAGCAGCCCCACGCTACGTGATTCTTTATGTTGTATTGTTTTGTTTTGTAAAGTGTATAATTTTTAAATATCTGAGTTTTAAAAAAAAGAGAAAAAGTACAAAAAAATTCTTGTTAAGGCCTTAAGAAGGGGTTAGTGCATCTTTCAGGGGTCACTCTGCCGTGGGGATAAAATAGCTGTTTCACAAACAGTTTTATTTAAAAAAAATCAAAAAAATAATAAACTTCATTTTAACCTTGTTTCCTTTTTTATTGATTGTAAAATAAATGTGTCTCTTTCTCCTCCCGCTCCAGCCCCCAGAGGTGGCTTTGGTTCTGCTGCAGGGGAGGCAGGTCTGCCTGGTCCAGCCACTCAGTGGGGGGGAGCCCAGCCCGTGTGTGGGGACGGTCAGATTTACTTAAGCTGATATGAGAACATATTTCCAATCAACATTAATTTTAAAGGTTATAAAAAAATAATGCAATGTTAATGGACTTTTTTAGAGAACAGAAACTCCGGAAGGAATGTTGTGAAGTAGAAATAAGCAATTATAAATGAGTTCTTGTGTGCTCATCAATTTGGGGCTGCAGAAATGGCAGATTAATTTCGTTTTAATGGCTACATCAAGCAGTGTGGTCCATTTCTCATTTCACTGCGCCGGGACAGAGGCGTGGGTGGTGTTCTGCGTGGGCCTAGGACCTGCATAGCAATGACGGCTTTTTGAGCTACTTGGCTTCCCATCTGGTCTCAACTTGGCATTAACACAGTTCAAATGGAATTGATAGATTTCAAGTGTCAAGGGCTACACCACAAAACTTGAAAAATATGCATCTTGAGGAAAATACTTTTCTGACAGCAAATAATTCTTCGTCATTTTGCCTTTTATTCTCCTGTCCCCCTTTGACTTGCTGGCGATGCGTGAGCGAGGCCCTGTGACCGTCCCGGGTCTTTCCTCTGAAATGCTGGTGACGGGAGTGGCATTTCCCACACACCCTCCTGCCCCAACAGCTCCAGCTGCCCATGTGCATCTCAGTTCCCCCCACATTTGAGTTCTGTGCATTTTATTTAATATCTTTCACTGTTTAGAGCAGTTTTAGGTTCATAGCAATATTGAGCAAAAGGTACAGAAAGTTCTCATATACCCCCTGACCCACCACCCACAGCTGCCCAGCTACCAACTCCCCCAGCCCCAGGGTACACTTGTTACAATCAGTGAGCCCGCTCCAACACAGTCACCCCAATTCCACAGGGAGAGTCCTGTGGGTTTGGACACATGCATGACATGTGTCAGTCATAGCACACCCAGTAGTTTCACTGCCTTAAACAAAAACCCTTTGCGCTCCCGTTCATCCCTACTCCTGGCAGGCACTGTCTCCAGAGTTGCATTTTCCAGAATGTCCTGTAGGTGGAATCAGTGTGTGGCCTTTTCAGGTGGCTCCCTTCACTTAAGGATGACATGCATTTTAAGGGTCCTCCATGTATTGGTGGCTTGACAGCTCATTTTATTTTATTGGCTTGAGAGAGAGAGAAACATCTATTCCACTTATTTATGCATTCATGTGCCCTGGCGGGATCAAACCCAAAACTGATGCTCTAACCAACTGAACCACCTGGCCAGGGCCGATAGCTCAGTTCAAAATTTTAGTACTGAATGCTATTCCGTTGTCTGGCGGTATCACAGTGTATCCATTCGCTCAATGAAGGACACCTTGGTTGCTTCCAAGTTTGGGCAATTAGGAATAAAACCGCTATAAACATCCATGTTTTTGCTCGGACATGAGCTTCAACTCCTTTGGGTCAATACCAAAAAGTGATTGCTGGATCATATGGTAGAAGAATGTTTTTTAAGTTGTGGCTTAAAATAAAATTTATCATCTCAAGCAATAAGTGTGCAGCTCGGTAGTGCTAATACATTCACATTGTTGTGCAACTCCCACCAAGCGGAGGCCTGGTGCCCGTCAAACAGCTGGGAGGCCGGCCCTGCC